CTTTTATCCTCTCTCAGGCATTTACACAGCAGCGCTGGTACTGCCGATAACCACATTTTTCCATTAAATTAAAAAAAGTAAAAGAAAGGTTTTTGGGGATTTTTTTAGTTAGGATTGTCATAAGGACCTTTATTTCTCACAGTGCACTGTGTAACATCTGGTATTTTATGATTTCCCCTCTATCTCAGAAATATGCAGTAGGTATCAGTTTAAGGACCAAAGTAGCCTTATACTATAAATATACACAGGATGAAGCATTTTCCCTATACTTAGACCATTACATCATGAATTAAGTATTTAACTGGCAAATGTTTGCCTTTCTGCTAGAACATCTATGTACTCTTCTCATATATGTAATACAAACTACTCCAAAAAAATCCCAGCAAGAGAGGAACTGTTTAAAGGTTGGTGACCGACACATTCAGAAAGCATAAATTTAGGAATATTTCGGGAACAGAGTGTCCATTATGGTACCGAGTTTCATTTCACAGCTACTACACACAGAACTACTCTGAAAGTAAGCCAAATAATGTCTGTTTGGTTCAAGTATATTTCCCATAAAGACATCCCTTGTTCCCTTAAAACATCAAATCAAAATTCAGCACTTCCGCTAGTAATAACCCTCAATATTACAACACATATGAAAATTCTAATTAAAATTTGTCTTCACATTTCTGACACCAGTTTAGAAAGACAACCATTATGAAGTCTGCCATCATTGTGGTGACTGCAGCGCAGCTTGCCAGCTTGTCTCCTTTACCACTGAACACCAATATGTGTTATCAAGAGCCTTAAAATGAGAACAAGACCAACCATGAAAAGTAAAAAGGTAAGAAGTAAAATTCAGGAGTTAGTATGAGCCAGCCTTAGAGAACAGAGTGTTTTCTGTGCTCAGAAACCTCAGAAAAAGCAGTCACTCATTCCTCTTGTTTCTTCAGGCTGAGATAGTTGGAGTTGGGGTTGTTCAGCTTGGAAAAGAGAAGGCTCCAGGGAGACCTTATAGGGAGCTTTTCAGTCCCTAAAGGGGCTACAGGAGAGCTGGGGAGGGACTTTTTACATGGGCATGTAGGGATAGGATGAGGTGGAATGGCTTCAAACTGGAAGAGGGGAGATTTAGATGAGATATCAGGAAGAAATTGTTGCCTGTGCGGGCGGTGAGCCCCTGGGGCAGGTTGCCCCGAGAAGCTGTGGCTGCCCCATCCCTGGAGGTGTTCAAGGCCAGGTTGGACGGGGCTTGGAGCAACCTGGGCTGGTGGGAGGTGGCCCTGCCCAGGGCAGGGGGGGGGGAAGGTCCCTTCCAACCCAAACCATTCTGTGATTCCCGGCAAGAACACGAGGGAGTGAGTACTGTGAGAGGGAATATGACTTGAAGCACGTGAAGCAGACAAGCCCCACTCCGCAGTCAGCCTGGTGCCTCTGGCCCAACAGAGGACCAGCGGCTGGCCGACCAGGCAGAGGTACATCCTCCCCCCTCAGTTACCGATAGAATGAAAGTCATTACAAAACAAAACTCATTCTCTCCGATTCCATATTAAAATCATTATAAGCTTAAGATATTTATACATCTTCCAGGTACTTACACATCTTCCATCTGACTATATAATAATAATCTTTTGTTTTTTCAGAAATAGCTTCAATTTGCATTAGAAAGGGGTGAAACTTGGCAATTGCTGCATCATTAATGCCCACAATCTACCGTGACAGAAGGGAAGATACACAGCCACCACCACCCTACAATGACTTTGCCTAATTAGGATGGTACACAAACAAACAAACAAACAAACGTGCAAAGTAAAACATCACTTTACCAGCAAGCTTTTCTGTCATGTCTTGTTTTGCTTTTCCATTCAGAAACTGGGCTTTTGTGCAGAATGGCTGGAGGAGCAAATAGTTGTCTAAACGCGAGGAACAAAACATGTTAAATTCTTAAACAGAAAATTAAACAGTCTGCAAATAAACACAATATGCAAAAGTGTAAATAAGAACCTTACTTATGATACAATAACTTCAAAAACCACACTGATGTACTTAAGGGCATAACAGCATAAAAACATACTCCTAACAAGCCCTAACTGCTAGAATCTGGTAGAACATAGCATATTTGTTTCCTGAAAATACTAAGATTCTGCTCCAAAGCTAAAATAGCTGAGGAAGGAAAATAGTTTGGCATACACAAATCAGCAAGAATCTAGTTCTTTGACCTGTTTAAGAGATTCGGCAGTATGACAAGCTTCTGGATAACGAAACAGAATCACACAGACTGGCTGAGGTGGGAAGGGACCTCTGGACATCGTCTGGTCCGACCCCCTGGTCAAGCCCAGGACCGCGTCCAGATGGCTTTGTGACAAGCACTTGTGACAAGTCCAGCTAGCTGTATTTCTTTACTGGACTGGCAAATATTAAGATGACTCATATGGTTTAAAAAGTGTGATAATGAAACCAATGATTCATTACACGGTGTAATGATTGGATGGGAACTACTGGAAACAGTAACTCTTTACATTTAGAATTTAATTGATACAATTAAAACTCTCTAAAATTAACAGAGAGTAAATTACTTACCTAAGTGTTGACACAGAGCCTGAATAACATTTGTGGCAGCTGCGTAAATCCCTGGATTTTTGGAGTTCAGGTTGTTGTCTACCATGGCAGGAATTAACATGTTGATCACAGGTGATAAATTGTCTTTCAGCAACGGAATCATCTTGTGCATTGTCTCCAGAGCAACCTGATTTACTTTACTGTTTGAGTCATGTAAGCGAGACTTGAAAGCATCAAAGATCTGAAAAAGTATCCACACAGCATTCACCAGAATTAACAATTAATGTTTGAGGTGGATATTACGTTTCCTGCTTCATTGTTACACTTTAGGTATCCATCTTAGCAAAAGATGTTTCTGATACGCAAATACCGGAGATACTTTTTTATCAAGTAAAGCAACTTTTGATATTTTTATATTGTGTAGTATTCAACTGTATCTGACCTCATCTGAACTCGAATCATTCCCGTACAATGTAATGGAGGATAACTAGCCATCTGTAACTTTCAGTATGACTAATATTTTCTGCAAGCAAGTATTTTTAGCAAGACATAGCTCTATTTAGCAAAAAGAATGTTTTAAAGATTTCAAAAACATTCACAGTTAAGATATCATGAATTTCCACAGAAGTAGAAACAGTTCCACAGCAAAGACACTGCACTGTTAGAAGACAATCTTCGTTTTTCTTTCATTATATCTATCTTTAGTTTACAACTGTTGGACCTCATCATAGTATTTTTCTCTGAAGAATCTCCTTTCCTATTAGAAAGGATACGTAGCTTAAGCCTTACCGTAATAAAGACCTTTCCTCACCTTCTGCTAGACAAAAAAAGCAGGCAGAACTTGCAGCTGTGTTTCAGAGACAGTTTTTTCAGATCTTGATTAATCCTTGCTGCTCTTTCTGTAACCTGTTCCAATATTTTGATACTTACTCAGCAGTGGCGTGAAAAATTGCACGCGGTATTGCAGAAATAGCTCAGAGAGTGCTACCTCTAAGGGAAAACTTTCAGCTTCTTCCTCCCGTTTACTTCCTTTACTACGTTTGTAGCTCACATATCTCCCCCTTGAGCACACCTCACCTATTCCTCAATGTTTTCCTGTTAATCAGACATACTTATTGAAAGAGGGAGCCAAGATTTTTATCAGGAAACTTTGTGACGCAACTTCAAAGACCTTTGAAATAAAATGTTTTCATACAGTTACCTTCACAATGTTTGCAACAACAAAGCCTTGATTGTTCTCTGTATCTGATAACAGCTGCTTAATGCCATTTATTCGATCACGGAAGTCTTTTGCATTCAATAATCCTATAATGTCTTTAACATATTCTTCACTCTCTAGTGAATTACGAGGAGCTGTTTTTCTTGTGACTTCACGGGCTTCTGTAGTCTCTCTGCTGGAAAGGAAAAAGTTATTCAGTGAACACATAAAGAAGCTGAGACAGGAGTCTTTAATCTCAGCCATTCTCTCTCCGTGTAAGTGCAAATATCAGCAGTAAACAGAAAATCTTCTGATGAAGGACTTTCACTGTAAACATGGCGATTTAAAAAAAAATGAAATAATCACCTAATAGTAATTGTTCCTGAAGTCTCAATATACATTCCACTCTAAATGCATACATACCTATCACACTAGAGAGAAGCCTCAACTAGGCAGGGGCCCTGTGCTGCTTCGTGATGCCGTAGCAGAGCAGCGGGTTTGTGACCCCCAACAGTTGTGAACTTCCCTCACACCAGTGGGGCGGGGGGAAGTTACTGTGGTTTAATTCTTTATTCTCAAGGTACTTTAAATACTGATCCCAGTCTAGGTGGCACCTAAGCAACATGCCACGTTGAGGTGGATATGCAACAACTCTTCATAGAATATTTTGAAACATTTTTTCTGGAGCATCTAATCTTATTAGACAATCATAGGAAGAATTATAAAAATCTGTGGAATCACTTCTCTGTCCAGGTAAGTACACTGCATGTACAGACCAGTCCAGACAGAGTCGCTAGCTCATTCCTAATTCGTGGACAGAACTCTTTCATGGAGAATGGAATAAACATCTTTCTTGCATTTTCAAATTCAAACCTATCAGGTCTGTGAGAACAAAAGGTGGCATCAAAATCTCCTGTCCTGTGAGTGCATCACAGGCCACTGCAAGTACCTGAATCAAAGAGAAGAGAGCCTTTGGCATAATGCAGTAAGTAGCACCTCTTCTAAGGAAGGAGACATGTAGTTTTACATGCCAAAGCAAAATTTACCCTCAAATGTAGACTTAGTTATTATTTTGAACAGTAGAGAGACGGATTAAAGAAATCCTTTCCTGAACAGATAGATTTTCTTCAACCTGGAGGCAATCACAGCGTCTATGAACTATATTCTCGGATGCAGTTTTTTGGCTTGGTTTAAATTTTTGAGAGTTTAATTTTCAGTTCAATAGAAGAACTATTAGAAGACAAAACAGAAAACTAAAAATGGACAGAGTACGTTCTAAAACATTCAGCATCCCCAGTCAGGATCTAACTAAAGATTTAGTGTCCAGGGAAGCGCACAAATAGATAATGTGTACTGCAGCTACCATTAGGCATGTTTCTTCTGCAGAGTCTGAACAGCAATATCTTGAACTGATGGTGGTGTGGTTCTGCTGTGAATTGCAAGTGTTTTCTGTACCATGTGTATTTTCCTAGGCAGTCAATAGACAAATTAACTTAAAAATGCACAAAGCCTTTTTAATATTACCAGTTACCCGATTTAAAAGGGTTTCTCTGTGACATGTCAAGTTTTTCCTTTCCTTCAGGTATGTTTAATTTTCACAACCCTGTTATGAACATTTCTACACTCTCTTCTTGCAGTGAGGCTATTACCCTAGAGGTCAAGTTACTAACAGGGTAAAACACTGAAGATCATTACCTGTCAGTAACGTTGAGAGCATCTCTGGAAGTAGATGATGACCTTGAATGTCCAACACTACCAGTATGGGAACGTCTTCCTTTTGCTGAGGGTGTATCTAATGGCATCTCCCCCAGACCCTGCACAAAGGTGCAAACGTTAATCAACATGGCTGGTACAGTTCTGCACTGCTGGAGAGCCTGGGAAAGCACGTCTGACAGCCACGCAAGGTGTGGTAGCCTAGTGCACTGGATGCAGCGTACCTGCATGGGGGAGAGGCAGGCACAGGGCAGCAAACAAGCAGCACCTTGCCACGCTGCAGTCACTTGATTACTTGTCTTACTCTGAACGCACTCCCTCCGTTCCCTGTGGGTTCATTGTCTACACCCAACAGCCACTAGTACACATTTACATTTCTCAGCTGTTTAATGAGAGCTTTTCCACATACCTTTTCACGTAGATTGCTAACAGACTCCTTAATGTAAGGCAAATCCTTGGCTGGCACATACTTTTCAAGTGTTTTATCAAAATCAGGATGAGTCATCATACTGAAGAGCATCTTCCGACCATAATACCTGCAGAGCAACAGACCATGACATATATATCGTAACTACAGATTTGCTTTGTAACTCTATTGATAATTACAGGTGTGTAATTCCAAAATATAAAAGTGCAGGAAGATTGTTATCTACACACGTAATCAGACGCCCTTTTCATCCTCCCACAAAGAAACTATGCTCAAGAATCACTAGTTAATCAACAACCGTGCAAATTAATGAGAACAGTCTTCCATTTCAGCTGCCTTTAAATAGGATGGCGCAGGCTTGTCAGTCAGACAGCGTGGATCCCAGGGCCAGCATTCCCTCGTGGCCTGGATTTCGTCTGCGCCTGGCAGAGGACATCCTTTGAGCCACTCCTCCTCCTGCAGCCAGGCTGGGCACAGCTGCAGCAGGCGTTCAGGTAATTCCTGTCACATACGCTCGCTTAACAGTCTTGGCAGTGCTAGGGTAACGGTTGGACTCAGTGATCTTAAGGGTCGTTTCCAACCTTGTTATGGTTTGAGGAACCCACAACAATTTATTGTCGTCTAGGCAATTATTCTATCACCTGACGACCCCTCCCCACCTTGGAAGGGGCATCAGGAAAAACAAGGAAACCCAAGGGTTGAAATATAAACAGATTAAATAGAATAAGACTAGATAATTAACCATAATACTAAAGAAGCAGTATTGATCCCGATACCAATATAAAATATGCAAGGATTACACTCAGCCCATGCTATCAGTAGGAGGCTGTGCACTCCCAGCAGGGACAGCAAATGTTCGACCCTGCACGTGCTACGACTTCGTAAGGAAGGGAAGGGCTCAAGGGTCCGGCACCGAGGCTAGAAATTCTCAGGATGGCAGCCATCAAGGGAGAGAGAGAACTCCTCAGCAAACTTTCTAATTTATATTGAATGTGATGTTCACGGCATGAAATAACCCTGTTGGCCAGCTCGCTCCTCCTCACCCCTCTACCTGGCTAACTCGAAAACACTGAGACCTTGAAACCCGCATACCATAGCTGGCTATAAAGTAAATATTTTCACAAATTCAGACACTGGAGTCTGCTGAAAGTGCAGTTTTCCCAAGCATTAGAAGAGAAATTAGTCCTGTGTCGCTCAAACCAGGCCAAACCTAAATGATTCTCCGTTTCTCTCCTCTGTCACTGCGGAGGAACACACGTGGGCTGTGCAGAGGTTTCAGCCCTCTGGAATATGCTTATCTTAACTATTAACCTTACTAACCTCGTTTGTTGTGAACTGTCCTGCGCAAACCTGGCTATTGCAGGGAAAATCCGATCAGCGACAGCTTTGGTTCCAGACAGAATCCGCTCCGGTCCCATACGTTCGACAATGTCCGAGAGGTGCTGGGCTGTGCATCTTCTCACCGCTGAATGCAGGTGGCTAAAGAAAACACAGCTGCTTAGTAAAAACTCAGCACAGGAAACAAACAGCAGTATTTATGTGCTCTACCAAATATGGTATACAAGCTTTCTTTTTTCATCTTTAGTGTAATCTACAACCAGTATACTGCTGATACATAGACACTTATTCTGGCTGTATAGAGAAGATATTGTGGAGCAAAGACAAATAACCTTATTTAAAAGGATAATCCGTTTGATTAAATTTCATTTCATTCACTTAAAAACCCAAACAAAACAGGAAAAATTATATTATTTTTGTTTAAAGTCAGTTTCAGCCTCTAACTGCGGCTTTTGGATTAATAAAACCAGGAATTTTCTTCTTCTTAGTATTTATTTTCTAGTTTTCCTTAAAATAATTATAAAATATTTTAGAAAGTACACTACTATGTGTTCTTTCCATCAACTTTAAAACTAGTCCCTATGCTCAGAAACACATCTGGTGTATTTTATATCAATTTAAAATTAAATAAAGCAGTGTTCTATTGACTTCTAAAAATCTTGCCGAAGCCTATTTTCTACAAAACGGGCTATTAAACACCTATGCTGATGAAAATGAGAGCAGAGCTGGAATCACTTTTCAAACTCGTGCAGCAAACTAACCTTTTATATAAATTCTGCTGTAGCTGCCGATCCCACATGTTTTCAGAGTACGCAATTACGCAAATTCAAACTTATCCAATTTTGTTTTTATCTTTGGATTAAAAATCCTACTTCGAGGACAGTTTGACTGCACAGTAAATGAGACACTTGTATGGCTCATCATTCACAGGGAGAAACGGGTTTAAAGGAGAGAGCTAAGGGAAAGAATGGACTCGGTAAACCACGCCAGTGGTTCCCCAGCTTTGCAGTTTGACAGGAACATGCGGCATTCTTCCTGAATGGCTATGTTCCCATTTCACCAAGATTTCCTTTTCTCTGGTTCTGCAGATTACCACGGCCGCACTGCAAGTAAAGCTGCCGCTAGGTTATCCTGCACAAAGACAACTAACCCGGTCTGTTCAAACTGCAAAATGCGGCCGCTCAGAAGAGAGTCCCGGCCGCAATGTCTGTCCGGTCGCGTGGCAGCTCCCCCGCTCAACTCCTGCTAGCGGAGCCGTCCTCGCAGCTGCTGCTGGGCTCCCCAGTTTAAGGCTAACCTTGGCTCCTGCCAGGACGTGCTGCTGTACACCAGCCACGCGTCTCGGGAGCTTGGGAGAAGGCTACAGTACCAGCCTAACTCCTGCTGCATCTACCCAGGGGAAAACAAGAACTGTGGGGCTTACAGACCTCACTCCATGGAAGCAAATAAGCCCCCGCTCCCCACGAATGCCCGCTCGTCAGGCAAAATAGTTGGAAATCTTTATGTATGCACACAAGACCTTAGATTTCAACACAATTCATACAGAGAAGAAACAAGGCTTTGAAATTTCTGAAATATAATCACTTTCAGAGCTCGCCCTGGAATCATGCTCTTGGATCTAGCATAGCGGTGAGCTTACGGCAATAGTCTTTAGAGCAGCAACTCACAACAGAAAACAACCATGTTTTTAAGTATTCTTGTTGGTAAAGTAAAAAACCAATTTTGTAGCTAATGAAGAATCAGTATATCTATCTAGTCAGGGTTGCAAGCATTAATACGTGATCGCAGTAGGCTTGAAAAGTGTTTCGCAGAAAATAGGTAAATTTTAAAAGGTCTTACGAACTGCAAGCAAAACCGTAACTGGTAACTCGAATACGTAAGTTGTGGTGAATATAAGCAACTCAACGTATAAGCCAAATTTAGAAAAGCCGTCCGTTGTGCAATTACACAGCTGTGTCAAACAGAACCTCTTCACTTTGTACTGCAGACACATATCATTTTTCTCCGAAATTTCCACTTTAAAAGCTAATTCTCATATTGCCTGTTACAGCCTCTAGAGAGGATAGCTCCAGCTGTGCCGCACGGGCTTTGTTGCCAATACGGCCAGTTTCCTGAAGCCAGTATCAGAACAGCTGTAACTCACAGTGCTATTTAGGCCATCCACTCATACGTCATGCATTAAAAACATACTGTACGCCATGATTTAGAAACCGCTTTGACTGAAGTCTTAGCCGTGGAGAAATTAATCCCCGCGTCAAATGCTGTATTCAGACTCACAGCTCAGGTACTTTTGATGCCTTATATATCTGAAAATGTATCGGAGTTCACAAATTGGAGGGGCCAAAGCTTTACAGGTCTAGAAAACTCATAAGGTTAGGTCAGTGTGTTTGAATCTGCCACTGAAACGGGGCAGATCAGATGTAGCCAATTATGATCACGAGTATTGCTTGGCCAAGGAGTTCTGAAGAAAAGATGGGAATTCCTAAACAGACCACTTTACGTGGCTTCGGAATTAAAGCAATGTGCAGTTACTGTCTGCTGCTCTTTAAGTCATAAAAACAACTACGTGTGGACATGATTCATAAAGAACTTAAATCCCAAGGCTGACATTTGCCTTTCAGTATAAAGTTCAGGTAATTGCAGTATGGTTCTCATTGGCTTTCAGGAGACAGCATCAGTATATTCCACAACAACCAGCTTCCCAGAACACAATAGGAAACAAACCATTTTGTATCAAGACTAACTCTTGCGACTTGTAGCTCTGCAGAAAGTCTACGGATTGATTTATAATGTAGCACCTGAAATATTTAAGAGAAGGGATCGGCTAGGAGAAACATAGCCTATCAAATGTCATCTTAGTGATGACAGATAGATAAGAGATTAAGTAAAAGTAGGTGTATATCTAACATACTGGACTGCCTAATGGCTTGTTTAAGTGTTGCTGTTACAGTGAATGAGGATATAGAAGAAAAAGAACAACATACTTAAAAGGGAGAGCGAAAGAAAGGAATGTAACTTCTGCTACAGACTGAGGTGAGCTAGAGATCAGAGTCAAACCATGCAACCAGAAATGGAGGCTTGTCGTGTTTGAGGCACTCAAGAAAACAATGGCGACCACCACTGTAAAGGACATTAAAACGCAGACAAAAAGACTATTAACCAGCTAAGTCTAGAGAAGAATAGGAAATCAACCAAGACAGTTGCAGCCAGAGAACTGTAAGTCACAAATCATCTTTCTAAATAAAAGGTAGTGCTGAAAAATGAAAAAGACAGGCATGTGATCGCAGAGCAAGTGAAAAATGAGAATGCTATGTGAGCTTTACAAGGCAAAGCAAAATAGCAGTTTCCTAAGAATAATATGCAAAGAGCAAATTAAGCTACTGAAGAGCTGCAAACTGACCAGAAAACACACCAAGCTCTAAAATCAACAGCCAACTTTTTACATAAGGTACAGAAAGAAACAGAAGGGCTACATTTTACTTTTGTGCCAACAAACGTTGCCCTGGGTAGAAGTTTTGCAGAGCTGACTTAGTGTATTTTCAAATTTTTTCCTACAGTATTTTGATTTTTTTTTTAAAAGACTGTATTTGATAAATTTAATTTATTCACAAGTTATTTCTTTATAAAGTCTGTATAAGAATTACCTTTGCCCTCCATTTATAAGAGAACAAAGTGCACGTGCTGGAGTCACATTATTAACCATAGCCTTCAGTGCTTTGTCTACCTCTTCCCTTATAAATGTGTTGGATTCACCAGCTTTGTGCAAAAGGACTTTTACTGTATTATCTAGTTCTTGATCCATGCTCTTTTTCAGGTAGGTGAACAAATCCCCTAAACAGACCACAGCAGCTCGAGAAACACCTGAGCGTAAATTCTTGACCTGCACACAGGAAAAACCCAAACAAACAATGAATAATGTTTATAAAATATACTTTAAAATAAGTAAAGCTTAATGTTTCCCCTTGTAATTTTAAAGTAACTTTAAAAGCAACTGAGAAATACATTTCTAACTTGATTCACAATGTGTGAGAATTAAAATACATACACATGAGAAATGTTATAAAGTTACAATCTAAACTTTTTCAGTCTCTTAGCAAATCAGATCAAGCGTTGGTGTCTGAAGTATGAGCTGCTCTGCTGAATGACAGACTCATCCTTTTGAGACTGTCCATCAGAGGAAAACTAACCGCAGCTGAACATACCGTTTCACTTCAGTGCATTGCAGAGCTATAAAATACATATACGCACATATAGTCAGCAAAATATTCTGGTAGTAAAATTTAACCTCTTGAGCCACAGCCAAACTTGTTTCATGTAGCTTTGAAGTCAGAATAGTCGCATGGTAGGCAGACAAACATCTGACAAAGTTCAGACCTTCAATTTTCTTCTCCCTACGTAAAAAAAAAAAAATAATTAAATTCAAAACATTTGAAAATTTTCATAAAAACGTTAAACCACATATTTCTAAGACACCAAATAGCAAACCAATTAGATTGTAAAATAAAGCAATGGCTTATAACGTAGGAAATTCTTTCAAAGTGAGTCTTTCTTTTAATGTGGTAGTAGGACTATTTTAGCATACCAGGCTCTGAATTCTTTCCTACAGTTCTGCCCGCAGCTTGCACTAGTGGCAATTAAAGGATTACTTTCCCTCCCCGAGTTGAAAAGGCAGCAGCACTGTAACCCCATTTCGCCAGTCAGAGCACAGTGCAGCCCTACATTCCACAGAAAAAGGCAAGAAGGTATTGGTGGGGGCCCTCTCCAGAACTGGGCTGAAGCTTAGACATCTCTGCAAGTCTCTGCAAGCTTAGCTATTAAGCCTCAATTTACAACAGTTACAGTTTAACACAGATTTGGACTGAAAAAAATTTTTTCTTTTCTACCACTTGCAATCCTTCTCACTATTTTTCATGTTATGTCCGTTTTGCCATTTTATTTAAAGTAAGTTATCAAAATAAACGCCTTCTACATTGCATTCAGGTTGTAGATAGATGTTTACCCCTACCAGTCATCATCAGCTAAAAATGTCAAGGCTTCTGTCAGCGCCACCTCTGGTTTTGAAAAGGGCTGCAGTTCTGACGGGTCCATTACTTCTGGGCTATGAGTGACTGATGGGGTCCGGTCTTTATAGCGCCCTCGTGCCCCGAGAGACAGTTCATCTGCAAAGTCGTGAAGCATAACAAATAATAAGCATAATCTGAAGAACAGAATTCATTCAAAGGAAGGAAATATAAAAAGTCTGAGGTATAGACCGCTGCTACTAAGGGACCAGGTTTTTAAGACAGCTTTCCCAGTCACATCTCAATCATTCAGCATTTCATTCATGTGAAGGACTTTTTTTGCAAACAACCACCACTTCAAAATCGCAAACACAAATATAGTGGGTTGTTTAATGTAAAAACAGATGCAGAATGTGCTAAACGACAGTGAGCTAAGGCACAATATAGTAAAACTTAAACGACATGCTTCAGAAATTCTGAAGACCTTTGACCATCATCAGTATGAGCTATTCTGAAAAGATTTCTACTGCATATTTTCAGGGCATCTCAGTGACAAAATGTACGTGGAAATATTTTTCTTGGAGAGAGAAGGGGGTGGAAGAATGTCAATTTGCCATTAATACATTACATCATTTAAGTAGCTGAGGAAATAAAAAACTCTCTCATGTTTCAAACATCCTCCTAACAAATTATAGACAAAAAATGTTTCAAAGGGACAGTGCTGAATTCTAATCCCCTTCATCATCTCCTCCCAAAGCACTCATCTTCCAGAGCGCCTCAGGACTGCCCGCTGTACATATGAATCATATTAAAACTGACTGCATTTTGGAACTGGTCCTCTTCACATGTCCAAATATTTTAACAGTCCCTAGTTTACCGTAACAGCTTACCAGGATCTAGCAAGGCCAAACATTTTGTCTTCTTCAAACTGGATGTTCTTTTTAACGAAGTATTCAAGGCCGCGTTTTCTAATGACAAAGATACATTTCTTGATGATGATAATATATCCCCATGCAGATTTAACTCTAGAAAATAGACGGAAAGGTCCACACTACAACAACAGTAAATCAGAAAAAAGGAACAAACTAGTCTTTACGGTCCTAGTTTGTCTTCTGAAATTTTTCCTGACTACAGTCTTACAAACCTTTTCCATAATCACTTTACTGTCCGATTTGCATTGTAAGACTGACAACAAATGACTAAAGAGTAAACTGTAGTGTAAAATTAATTCTAGTAATACCTTATGTCACACTAGACAGTCATGATTTCTGGTAGTTATCACCGAATTTTAATTTCCATTTTAGCAGCATTTAATAGTACACTATTCATTTAGACAAACACTAAACCTCACTTTCTGTTGTCATTTTCTCTGGTTCGTTCAGTTTAAGTCTTTCCCAAGGGTATTCTTCCTTTTCTTCGAGGTCTTTGACTTCCTGATGTTCCTTATGACTGTGCTCTTTCTCTTCTCTTTTCTTCCGCCTCATCTTGTCCTGGGCAGATTTTGACATGGCAGCTTTTATCTGCAGAAAATTCACACGCCCATTACGATACGCAATATAATATAATGTGCAATTTACCCAAAAACTTGTTACCCAGTTCTGGATATTGTCTAAGGTAAGCATGTAAGAATAATAATATCTTCCCCATTATTCTACAGAGCAAAAGGAAATTATTCATATAAATATTAAATCCAATCCTGAAAAGAGACAAATGTGTGCATTCTTCATGATAAGTTTTCCTACTGGCAAAGAGAAACAACAATCCAAGTACAAATGTTTAAGGGAAATAATAATTTACTCTAAAATATCTGAAAATTTAGAGAATTAAAGTCTAAAAGAAAAGGTCTTCTATTTCTCTGGCAGTATTGTGTTGTTTCCTAGAATTTTAAGTAACAAATACACAGTCTACACTTACTCATATTTAAGCACAGAGGGTTTTTTTAAACAGTGGTCTTTGACAGGGTGACCTGACCCTTTTCTCTTATATGTTTAAGACAATTACAGTTCCTCGTGAAAGCTCAGTAACACTTAATATGTTCTTCCATTTTCTTCTTTGAATTTGAGCCTTCCAAGTATTCATATCTTCAGTGGCAATCAGAAAATTAAGACACTGTTTATCATAAACTTAAAGTTTTAGTAATCTTAAAATTTGATTTATTCTATGATTTAATAAATAATTTAAAGTATTCATTTTAAATGCTTTCAGAAAGACTTGTGATTTTCATTTCAGATTTTTTAAAATTCGTATCACCACTTCATCCAGATAAATCTCCCTCCATTTAATAACAGATGTAAATACAATTTAACAAAGCAGCACTGCTCCTCATGAAGCCATACTACAGGACAGATATTCAGACAGTATTTTTTATAAAAACTTCTGAATGGAGCTGGATTAATAATCTAATCCAGAAACCAAGACAGGATCAAACCCAGCCAGTTCCTCCTTCCATGTTTCTATGTGCTGTGGGGGTCAGAGAAGAGGACATTTTCCATCTCCGTGCCTCCTGCAGCCCTTCGCCCAGAGATTTTGCATTAGGTGGGATGCTTCAGACGCAGCAATTTGTTGCAGAACCAAAAGAAAAAGCCAGGAGAAGCACCATGATGGCTATAGGCTGCACTGGTGTGTGAGGACCAGACTCTGCCCCGGCACAGCCGACCCAGTGGAGGGAGCTGGGCTTCGTGCCCCAGGTACTAAGATTCTGAGAGATGGGACTTTCTCAGCTGTTCTTGCAGTTACAGAGGTACACACTTACGTGAGCGGCAGCCTGAGCCTCGGTGCCTAACACTGTACACTAAAATAAGTTTAGCTCAGACCATTAACCTGCAGAGTTAGGCAGGAAATTACTTTTCTGCACTCGCCACATCCCCAGTAAATATACAGTTGCTTACACAAAGACGAAAAGCTTCCACAACAGAGACAAAAAGAAGATTTTACGGTCTAATTATTTATCATTCATCCAGGATAGCAATACTATGGTTTGGTGCCCTTCTGATTCCAGCGTTACCTTGAAAACAGATCTTAGGATCAGCTGCTGAACTACTGGCAAATATTGGTGGATCTATACAGTGTTTAAGAGATCCTCATACCTTTTTTTTTCCTAATCTAAAGTATCACAGGACTAAAAAACACTTTATGCAGTCCACTTAATTTGATATCAGCAGTACTGGCAATTGTTGCCATTTGTAATAGCCCATTTGAGATGTGAACACAAGTTTCCTATGCCAAGACCAAATTTATTTCCTATGTCGGTACTAATCAACAAATGACACCACATTCCTGTCTTATTTCAACTGCACGAACAGTCTGCAGTAAGTCACCTTACTAAGAAAACATAACCCATTTTTTATTTAATACTTGTTAGAAAAATAATCATAGAATGGTTTAGGTTGGAAGGGACCTTAAAGATCAGCTAGTTCCAATGCTCCACGGGCAGCATAATATCCAACATAATGCTGAATTACAAGAAACTTCCGGTTTAGGCTTAATATAACATTCTGCAAACATTAGAAGAAAGCAACTGTGTTGTCATTGCTGTTTGCAAAATGGTGAAATAAGCAGTCAGAGCAAAAATTTGCATGCAGTCAATCACACGTTGACAAATTGTTAATCCAGCTTTAGTCTTCACCTTATAACAGAACTCAACAAATAACAAATAAAAGGACTTGTATACTGTTGCAAGTCACTGGAGCTATGAATTAATCTTTTAGTCAAACTCTTGTTTACCGTAACATAGAGATTACAAAACTGTATTCAGCTGTATTCATACATATAAAAACAAGAAGCAAGTCAACAAAATGGTTCTGAAGTTCTTACCTCCTTTTCATTTTCAGCGTGGAAATGAGACGCACTGTTCTGCTGGATGCTCCTCCCGCAAATGCCGGATGACGGCTCAGTCTCCTCCTTGCCAGCTTGGTCATCTCCATTCGCCACGCAAGTTACGGACTGGCTGTATGCCCGAGCAGAAGGAGGACTTCCAAAAACACCTGAAAGGCATATCATGTTGTGCCCTCACCAAAATAATCATTTTATTCAGCAGAACTTAGTAAAAATGAAAGGAAACCAAAAGTAATTCAAGAAGATAAAAACATTGCTATTATACTAGTAGTGCCAATTTCCACCCAAAAGTCCTTTTACCTTATTCTACCGAGTAGGACAGATGCACGTACAAGTGTACACACTGGGCTAGAACCTCAATCTAACCTTCATAATTTGATGCCGTTCTATGGTGTTGCAATGGAATAGCATATCCAGCAACTGCAAAACTTCCTAGCATAATTCTTTTTATTCCTGTTTGAACTGGAGATCCTTCACAATTTAAAATGTTCTAATGAATCTACCTCTCCTCCTCCCGCTCTATAAAAGTACGCTTGCCCTCATTTTAAAAAGACGATGAGATAAAGGAGATAATTTCCAGTTTGTAATACCTTTACCAACAATCACAACTGCATCTTCAGACAGGACACTTGGTGAAATGAAATCTGGATTGTTCATCTGTGGAAAACTAGACGTTGACTCTGCAAGACCTTAAAAAAAAAAAAGTTACACAATGTAAATCATGTAGCTTACGTTTTGGTACAGGTTTTATTCTTGTAAAATATCACCATACACTGACATCTGAATTTATCACTTTTATGAATCAGTGTATTTTCAAGTTACTGAAGTTAATGGGATTTACTAAACATTGATACCCTCAAATCATGGAAAGCATATAGCAAATAAAATTTCTGCCAAAAGATCATAAAGAAAACTAATGTTTGTAAGAGGATTTTTAAATCAACTGATTCCACAGAAAAAAAAACCCAGAAGTTTCTAACTCACTTAGTGGAAGTATAGAACTGTTTCTTACGTAATTCAGCCCAACTGAATCAAAACAGAATTTGCTAAAATATTTTTTCCCCAATCAGCACTTTATGCCGTTTCCCATATAAATTAGCACTCCCTCAAATTCTTCACCAAAGTGGATGACAGATGCTATGTACTTTTATATCGGCTACACTAGTCGCAAATAAAATAATAGTTTTTGACAAAAGAAGAGCAGCATTCGCTTTTGCTTTTACCCTGAACAACCTGGTATTTCTAAATAGAAAAGATGACTTAGCAAAGCCTGTGTACTGACTAGAAAGTGCATAACTGAAGGCAGTGGACTACTGGACCATCTCGGCTGAGAAACACTCTGGTAAAACGACCGCCCTCTGTCTGCATCGACAGCTGCTGTAAAATCTCTAACATTTCGAGAAGGGCCGGGTACCCAGAACCTGCAACAGCCCTCCCAGGCAAGCTGCAGCACCTCAACAGTTTGGGACTCCTGACAGCTGTTACGCTTTCTGTCATCAAATCACAGAATGGTTTGGGTGGGAAGGGACCTTAAAGCTCATCCAGTCCCACCCCCTGCCCCGGGCAGGGCCACCTCCCCCCAGCCCAGGTTGCCCAAGGCCCGTCCAACCTGGCCTTGAACACCTCCAGGGATGGGGCAGCCACAGCTTCTCGGGGCAACCTGCCCCAGGGGATCACCGCCCTCAGAGTAAAACACTTCCTCCTAATATATCATCTGAACCGCCCCTCTTTCAGTTTAGAACTGTTACCCCTCATCCTATGGCTCCACTCCCTGATCAAGAGTCCCTCCCCAGCTCTCCTGTAGGCCCCCTTTAGGGACTGGAAGGCCACTATTAGGCCCTCACCTCAATCTTTAGTTTGCCAAAAATAATTACAGGCAAGAGTATGACAGAAGCCTCTTTACTTTACAAATTACCTGATTACATAGTTTTAATTTTGAAGCTGTCCTTTTTATGCTTTACAAGAAAAAAGATGAAGTGAAAATGTTTCTATTGAAAGTGTTACTTTGTCCTCCCACAAACCCAATCGTTGGCTTCTGAATGTTCCAAGTTTTAACATAAGAGAACTGTCATAATCAGTCTTTTGGGATTTTCTTGAATATAATCTTGAGGCTTCATAAGCAACTCCCTCTTAGACCAAAACTGAATGGGCATCAAATACTGGATCCTCTTTGGAGCCCCAGATCAGTACCTTCTGTCCTAACCTCAGCTTCTAGCCCCAAAAATTTACCAACTTTGATTTCACAGGAACCACATGGTAAGAGGTGTTAACATAAAAAAAAAAAAAATAGGATTTACTAATCCAATGATAAACTTTACTTCCATTGCTCATCTTCAAATGTTTCCCATAAAACAGCTCTCTACTATTTCTATAAAACCTTGAAAATAGACGAAACCGTCCATGCTTAATCTTGAAACAAGAGACAGAGAAAACAAAATATCTTATTGGGACAAAGATCTTCTTCATTATTCAATGTCTATTTCATTTTCTATTGTCACTAAAACATGAGTACTTGATATCTGCTTTAGCCACTCTGAGGGAGATCTGAACAAGAGACAGCAGAACCATGTGCTCCTTAAACGGACTTCCCTATTCTACTTTTGATGTTCCAAAAAAACAAAACCAAAACCAAACCAACTTGCTGCTCTATTCTAAGAAGCTTATAGCTGGAAAATAACATCCGTATCATACACAGACCAATTCTGGTGTAGGCAACAGTAGCTCCTAGGATGCATTAAAACGACACAGTTAAAACTGGAATGTAAAGTGTAACAGTTTAAGTTCCTTAATTTTACCAATGAACAACAGAGCAATTTAAAACCAAACTTTTAAAGCTGTTCATTTATTCAGAGTGAGATATATAACAATTTGGCCTTTTTTCCATATCATGTACGATCACTTTAAATTTTAATTTAATTAGCAGTCCAACTTCAGTTAATGTCAGGAAAAAAACCCAACTTGTTAGCATAACTATATAAAGACTAGAAAAGAGGAAACCACGCTAAACACCTTGAAAAGCATTTTAAATAACACCCGTTTTAAAAAAGACAATACACAGCTTCAGTTTTTGCCGTTAATGGGAGCTTAGATGAACAGTAATGCAGCAAACTTACGCTTGAAATTTCTTTGGTGTTCCATATTTTGACTTTTAAAAATAGCACGTGACAGTTCTCCTTGCTTCTTGTCCTCATAATCTCCACATCCGTTGCTGCAGTTCAAACGTTGGCCAACCACGCTAACATTAGAAGTCCCCTTATCCTCAAATGCTAGCCATGCAAAAGGAAAAAAAAAATCAAATATTAAAAAAAAAAAATAATTAGAAATAGTTTTTGCCATGTACTACAGGATTCTCAAATAGTTACATTCTCAGAGACCCTCGGGCTGGTTTTACGCATACAGCATGAGCATTTTTGCCTACAGCAATCTGAGCATTTCAACAAAGACGCTCAGGCTCTATTCCTTCTTCACATGCAAAGGATTTCATCTACAGATGAACCCAGGTTCAAAATCTAACTCAAAGCTTGAAATTTATTTTTTTTTTAGTTTAAAGTCTTTCAGATACAAACAACTGAATACTAAGTAAATCAGCATTAAAAGCAAAATTAAGTCATAAGTCAACTAAGAGAAAATAGTAAAATACTAGTTAAAACATACGAAATCTTTCCATTTACGTACTGTAGAAGTCATAAACATATTTGTATGTTACAATTACAGATAATAGAAACTGCGTATTTTTATGCCTGCAAAACGTTCTCAATACATTTTAGTTTTGGTTAAAAAAAAAAACCACCAAACAACACTAATTGCTTCTGGAACCCTTTAAACGATCATTTTTGCTTTTTCAAACACCCCTAAAATTAAAATACCTAAAAAGACTTTTCATGAACCTGCTTTTACTCCACATTCCACGAATTCCATGGAACTAACCCTGCATGCCACTGAAGAGACGGACAGGCACCACCAAGGGGACAGGCTGACGTGACTCGCCAGTGGCCAGAGGGACTCAGGCCTCCTCCACAGCGCGCTACCAGGGGACCAGACAGTGGTCCTGCTTCCCACCGCCGCAGGTGGGATGGCACTCCTGCGTCTCCTACCACCCGCCTCTGCCCGTCTCTCCAAGTTCTGCACTGCCGACCATCGCTGTCGGCCCAACCACGTCCACGTGGGATCAAGAGCCGTACTGAAATCCTCAAAAAGGCTCCTTGTGTTCTCTTCTTCAGCCCAGAACGTGGGTCAGAGCAGGTCGGTTTGTTCTGCCAGGGGATGGAAACCAAAGGCAGTGTTTTGCTGTGGGGTTCTGGAGATGGGGAGGTTCTTCCAGCAAGGAACACTAGAGACGCGCCCTAAGATTTGGGCTGGCGTGAAACGCTCTGGAAAACTACCATACAGCCAGATCCCCTGAAGGTCCAAGAACTCCTCACCCATGAATTTCTGCACTGTCCCAATGAAGTGTAGTTGTTATAGTGTTTCATACATCAACACTAAGACCTCACATGTCAGAACTGACCCACTAATTGCTTTGAGTCCTTGGCACAACAGCACGCTCTGGCCTCGGAAACTGTCAGGACCGAGGGGAAAGACGAGCTACAGGCCTGACAGCAGGCAGATGGGTTTTCCAAGTATCAACTAGTAAAAGCTGCACAAATTCACATGTTACAGAAAGAATTTGGGAAGTAAGAAATGTCTGAGAGCTGCCGTTCTTTCTGTTCTAACAAAGCTAAGAGAAGCTGATGAAATTCACCGTAGAGAAACAGCCGAAGCAATCTGAGCCCAACTAGCAAGTTAATGACAGGCAAGGGAAAATAAATTTCCTGAACAGAAAAGAGTTAAAGTGTTAAACTCAAAAAAAAAAAAAAAAAGAGAAGGGGGACAAAAAAAAAAAAAAAAAGACTGAAGGAGGAGCCAGAGAACAACTGACCCAATGGCTGGGCAATTCAGTTCCCAGGACTGTCGCAGGGCAAATAACGCATTCGGAAGTACCCACCAGAAAACAGTACGATCAGAGAAATCTGGTCTCCTTTTATGACACAGCAACAGACCTTGTGGGCAGGAAAGAAGTGAGAGATGCCATATATCATCCCAGGTATTTGTACACAAAGTAGTTACCAAAAGCTTCATTCTCCAAATGGAGGGATGTATCAAGCGGGGTTCTGCTGCAGGCTGTTCAGGACCCACTACTACACAGTACTTTGCTTACACGGCTGGATAGTAAGGCAGCATGCTGAATTCAAATAACGGTCAGCAAACGGGAAGCATACACGCATGCCTGAGGACAGGATCGGAATCCAAGGAGCTCAGGATAAAGTAGAAGAATGATCCAAGAAGAACAAGACTCGGGGAGGACAGGACTGATTCTGCATGTTTTACAACAATGCATCCATAACTATCCTTTCAACTTTAAGTGCACAAGGGGTATCGTACAGATACTGCATTTCAAGAAGGAGGCAGACCCGTTGAAAACGGCCTAGATGACAGCAGTTAAAAAGTCCGTAAAGTTTGACCTATGAAGGAAAGCTAGAAAAAATAGGACTTAGTCTAAAGGACAGAAGACAAAAGCAGTGGGGGGAGATGGGGGGAGGATACAAGAAAGGCAGCTGCTTGGGAGAAGAAAATATTCCATCCTTCGAAATAAAATAAAAAAGTAATGAGATAAGTTACAGCAAGGGGGATTTACCTTCAGTGCTAGAAAAAAACCTTTCATCTGATGAGACCAGCTAAATACCAAACTGATTTTTACAAGTTCTCCAAGTTCCAGTGTAGAAATTAAGAGCTTTTTGAGATGGTCCAAGCCCAGTCAGCACTGGGAGCAAAGGACTTCTCTTTACCAGCTAGCTGCACATGTATTACACTGACCTTAGCAGCAGCAGGCTGTCAGCCCCTCACAGGAGGCCCAGTGCTGTGCATTCTGGTTACTAACCCACTCAATAAGCAAAATAAACGTGCTGTTCATTATTTCACACTGAAGGTCAACCTCTCACAGAAGGTCTTTTCATACAACGAATGCAAAATCATTAACCACAACATCCATTACTATGTATGGGCAGTATTTGCTTTCTAACTTACGTTGTTTCTTGAAAAACTTATTTGCTAATTTATCCTGCGAAAAGTGGCCTTAGCTGAAATGAGGAGCAATAGAATTTCTGAAAAAAGATCAGGTGTCTCAGTAGCAACGACTGGTTTTTGAGTGTGATGGCTTTGCAAATTCTGGCCTGTAAGATGCCCTCCAATCTTAAATGAACCAAGTTTTGTAAACTTTTTCGAAAAATACATAGCTGCCGAGGCTGCAAAAGAATGTAACAGAGCAGTCTTTGCAAAGAGAGGTCAGAAAAGGTCTTTGTGGACACGGCTTCCTCAGTTCCTTTCCTCCATCCAGCTGAACCAAAACTGATTAAACAGAAATAACAATAAACAATTGGTTTCCACCCCTTACAGAAATCTGCAGTTACCTGTACTTCATTGTAAGCGTAAAATAGAGTGGCATCACTTAACTTCCATTTCCCACCAGGAAATTAACTGCTTGCAACATTTTGACCCTTCCTACTCTTACCCAGCTGGCGTCCAACGAATCTTCACACACTACTGCCCTGAATTTTGAAGTGCGCGTGCTCACAGGTGGCATTTGCATTAACACATTTTATCCTGACACAGAAAGGCAGAAACCCTCGAGTTCCTCCTCACCCGCAGTACCCAGCCTGACCTCCAGCTGACCAAAGAGCATCCAGCAATCACCTTTAAGTGCTGAAGGGACATGAGCTCAGAGAACAAGTGAGAACAGGCACATGAAGGGACCATTCTGTTACACCAATGAAGCAAGGTACACATCGATATGCACAGCCAGGTACCTGCGCTAGAGTTATGTTCTGCCACATTTGGGTCTCTGCTTCTTGCTGAAGATACTCTTGCAGGCTGTGATTTGCCGCCAAGTGGTGGAAAGGTGTCTGACCTGTTAAAGTATAAACCAAATTTGTGTAAAGACAACGCTACACACCAGTCAGAGCCCAGTTAAACAACACTTTGTAGCAAAGACATCAATAGACTTCAGTTTCTCCTCCCCAGTGTATTTGCTGGACAAGTATTGCCAGTGTACCTCCACAAATGTTCCCCCTGAGTAGAAAAAGAAAATGAGTTCAATAGAAATTACTTGACGAGCAGGTCCATCATGAAGAACACCATAAAGGCAACCCTTACGAGTAAACTTCACACTAGGACTGAATTTAGCATATGTTCAAAAAGCTGAGGAATTGCTTAGCCTCGGGGCCTGACGATGTTGGGTCCAATCCAGCAACGAATGACAAATGACAGCGACCAACTCCACTAACCTCTCACTTCCAGAAACGAGCTGTTTTCAGCTCAGTGTCCAGCACACGGACATTCACCAGGAAAATGCTGTCATCTACGAGACAACCTTGATACTTCTTTTTCAAAATGATGCATTTGAATATTGAAGATGACTGAACCCAGAGCCCTGCGCTGTTACGTACTGTGCACACCCACCTAACAGTCCCGGGGAAAGCCCAGCTCTTCCACTGTCTGCTCGCACCGAAATGCGCGTAACTAGAGGACTGGCTTTTAAGATCTTGAGGAAATCCCACGCTTCAGAAACTTCACTAATACCAGTATCAAGTTCCCATCGCTTACAGTAGTCTATCAGTGGATAAACTGATCCTTCTAAAAGCCAATACACAGGAGAAGCCTACATTTTTGTTGCCCGACTACACAGCTATTGGGAACAGAAAACGCCAATTTCCAGTGCTCACAAACCAGCATCTGAACTAAACTCTCTGAATTTTTTATGAATGTTCCAAGGCTCTTAAGGTCTTCTGGGATATATTTTGTCACTTCTACAGATTCAGTCTTCCTGCCAGCTGTTCCCTCTCTTCCTTGCTAGTTCAGAATTCCCCTATCTTCGAATCCTGTAAAACATTAAGCTTGTGTGTCACGGAATGATGGAAATGGCATGTTGTACTGAATACGTCCTAATCAAAACCATGCCTGGAAGAACATCATACATAGAATCTTACAGTCTTGACTTTTTAGGTGTTCTAGCATTTTTCATTTTTAAGATTACTTTTAAACTTGTGATTCAGCAGTAAAAAGACTTAACAGCTGTGAAAATCCTCCGTTTCTGAATCATTCCGGTCTCCGTCTGTCCCAAAAACCTTTATTTTGTACACTCCCTCTCTTCCTTCCTCTTCTGTCAATACAGTTGTATGCCAGTTAGATTAAGATGCATTTAGTAGCCACAATCATAAAAGATATCTTTGGATCAGAGCTGCAAGGAGCTTTATCATGGGCTCTCAGAGCTGAAAAGGAGATTCTGTACTGCAAAATTTGCAAAATTCCATAAAAACGTTTTTATTTCATTAAAAAATAAAACAGTTTATATTGCTAATCACCAATTGGGTCATTGCTCTTTACAATCAGAGCAGCGCGTGTCATCACACTATTGCTTTTTACAAGAGGTCTGTGAAGGCATTTTAAATTAACAACAATCGGTCAGGAATAAAATGGGAACAGTTCAGGATTCACAATAGTAAGAAACATCTACATTGTCTCCCTCTTATTGCAAAAAACCAATCCGTTCCTTATTCAGATTCCAGGCTATAATAAGCAAACCTTATCCTTCCTCTTAACTCATTCTTCTTCTTACTCATTTGTTTAGGCTATGGTTCACATACCTGCTATGGCAGGCTAAAGCCTTAATAAAATATTTACTACCACTGGCAGGACTTCGCCAACTGCACTGTGTTACTGTGGCTGCACAGGGGAACTCTGTCAAATTAAAAGCCAGCACAAACTAGAATAATACAATTACGCAGCTATTGTAAAGAGCAATATATTTTTAGACAGGAAATAATTCACATATAAAAATCAAGCTAGTAAGCAAAGCAATCTTATATTAAAAAATCTATTACGGATTGCACTCCCTTTAAGATTTGAATACCACCAGCAGAGACTGGGTGTAAGAATTTCAAAGCAGCGTTAACACTCGAGTTCCACTCACGTTATTCTCCTCCTCTGGGGGACTGTGGACACAGGCGAGGTCAGAGACTCCTGGCTGTAAACTCCGCTTTCGCTGCAGGAGCCCACGCTCGGGGAGGAAGTGTGGGAGGGGGAATCCACGGACAGATCCAGTTTAAGAGCAGAATCGGGACTTTCAAGATCTGAAATGTTGCTGCTTAGCTTTGCCCTCTTCTTAGCGGCACTGTTTCGTAGAGATCTAAGTGAATTCTGCATCTAAACGGGATTGAAAACAAAATGACAGGTTTTATTCACTGCATAGGAAAAAAACTTTTTTTAAGCAAAAGAAAGGATGTTTCTGAGCGTCCAGGGCACGGAAGTTCAGCACCCATACCTCTACTGGGCAATGGGACTCAATATTTACATCGGTTATGCAGTACTGTAACAATCCCTTTCACTGTTTGGCTTCACAAGAATAACCACGCTATTAAAGGCAAATTCCCGCAGACACTGTATCCTACCTTCATTTTGCAAAACACAAGAACAGATTCCGGCAAAAATAAACCAGCTCCTCTTACCTTTTTTAACAGACTAAAGGAAGCGTTTGACGGCTGCTAATACACACAACTGGGACCTCGGGATTTTCACACCTGAACTGCACAAAGATGCAAAATAGGCAGAAGTGAATGCTGAAAACTGTGCCCAGCGAGCACAGCTCCTACTCAAATAAGCAAGAAAATCTGTAATGACGACAGCTCTGCTGCATATTCTTTCCTCTTTTTACTGAATATGTTTGATGTAAAAAAAGTTCTTCCCTTATCCTTTAGCACCTAAATTACTTTCAGTAGTGATTCCAGGATGGAAGATAAAGATAGTCAGGCAAAGCCATTAAGTCCAAGTGCAACTGCTCTCAGATCCACAGGGACTAAAGACAGGATTTGAGATTCAAACAATGTCTACGAACTGTGACTGCAATATGGACGTGTTGCAGGGGAGCATGCGGGGAAGACCATACAAGATCCAATCCTACGTGCTACCTGTGCCTCTCACATAATTAACGCCGCAGTGGTGTGGATGTGTACTGCTGAGGGTACTGTGGATACAGTTCCACCTCTCCACCACCCCCTGAAATAATCCGCCATGCCTCTGCGGCATTTTTCTATGTTCGGCACCGGTGCAGCTCTTTGGGATTTCTCAAACATCAGAGAGACTCGAGCAAGGATGAGTGCCAGGATCCTTCGGCAGGCACTGGGCACAGCGGCCGGGGCTGGCACACAGATAGGCTCCATACACACCAGCAAAGGGAAACGCTACAATAAGTCTGTTTGACAAGTCTCATGGGTCACAGAAGGTAGATATTTTTAAAGGTATTAAATATTTCAAATATTTTCTAAGTCATGGGCTGAGCAGCACGCTCAAAACATTGGCCACTGAATACACATAATAGGCCCAAATTATGACTAGTGGATTTCCACATACAGGAGGGATGCTGACCTGCCAAACCTACTGCCAAATGGGTCTGTGTCATAGCAAAGAGCTGCAGGTGACACCGCACTCATCCAGCTTCCCATCAGTTCTTCTCATTTTACTCCATGAAAAAATGACCAAATTCTGAGAGGGCTGGGACATCCCACTGCGTGGGAATCAGGGACAGCCCGCCTCAGCAAAGCCGGGAGGCGGAGGAAACTCCCAGGCTGAGTCAAATGAACCTTCATCAAGGAAGCTGTTTGTTATTTCGGGCCCTTTGCTATAACTAAAGAGAGGATTATTACTTAAATCTGACATTAAATTTAAAATGAAGGCAATATAATGAGAACAAAAGCTGTATAAAGGCCTGCAGTTCTGCCATGGTACTACGATAACTGAAAACATTAACAACTTTGGCTCTGAGAAAAACAGGGGAAATTGAGATGTCGGGAACAAACGCTGGAAGTACACTTCAACACTGGTGTTTATTGCTTTACTTCGCTTCTATCAGACACCCAATGGTATCTCACTGAAAAGTCACCATACTGATGAGAGTGTCACGAAATTTAAGTCAGAAACATTATTTTGTAGCTCTTGCTTAGAAAAAAACTTACAATATTTCAACTGTTAAAAGTGCGATAGGTCGTATTTAAACCAACCTCTTCTTGGTCCACTTCCTCATCATCAACATTTAGCTCTGCGAGATCAGCTGCAAGCGTCCTATCCGCTTCACTCAGCCATGTGTCCTCACACTCTTCGTTTCTCCACTTTGTCACATTTAATTCAACCTTATCGGGCAGCGGGCTCGCCAGGCGCGGTATGGGGGGGACGGGTCTGGTCCCGTTCAGGCCCCTGCGGGAGGCCGGGTGTCTCACCAGGGTGGGCTTCAGCTGCAGAGGAGACTGTTTCTCCTGCAAATTCTCCCCTGAAGAAGACACAAGCAGATGTCAGTCCTTTGGAGGGCCAGCAGGAACACAGCACTCACCAGAGTAAACTTCATGTCTCATTTCTGTATCACACCAGAAAACTCCTTTTACAACGAGGTGAGTGATAAAGAAAACATACTTACACACCCAGTTTTATTTACTATTATAAATACATTTCAAGGACATTTTGTTTGGCTGAATATGAAAAAAAATGAGTAAAACCAGTAAGAACATAAAACCAGCTGTACTGAGTGGGACAAAAGGCCTGTCCCCTAACAAGGTAAGGAACCAACACTTAAGAGTATTTAGGAATTAAATACGTAGGAGTATTTAGGAAGTTCCTCGGTCAGAGGTCTGACACTAGCTGACCCACCCTCCCGGTACGCACCTCCACTTCCTTCATCAATAAATTCTTGCTTTAGGCATCTTCAGCAGCCTGCAGTAGTCGGCTACACAACGAGCATTATAAAACAATTTTATTTGAAACCTGATGTCACCGAAGCCCTTCCTCAGCTCCTTCATGCATGCATGTATTCATGTGTATAAATATACACACTTACACACACACAGATGAAAGGAAGTTCCTCAACAAGAGAACTATCTACAAAAGTAGATGTGATTCCCTAACCAACTTTATTTTTATACCATTCATAATTTGAAACTTTCAACATTCCTCTTCCAACATCAAGTTTCTAAATGTGCCAAACCCCCATTCCTGAATACATACTTACACACATTTTTCAATATTTAATTTTACCAAACCATTGGGATGTTGCCAGACTTGCATCCTTGCATGCTATTTTCTGTTACCTCCTGACTCTACCTTTTCCATCTCCCTGCATTTCAAGCTCAGTTACCCATCTCTTCTACTTTTAGTATCTCCTTTTAAAAAATATAAACTAGTGTCTCATGCACATGCATACCAACGTATACTTAGTATCTTCAACAAGTACTTAACTTTCTTAATTAAATAAAAAAGACTGGTGCTCCTGTAAGCTGCTGCAACAACAATAAAGATATTCTAAAGAAACAGAAAATACCTGAAATGCCTACAGATAATGTACAGAAAATCAGCAAGTGATGAACACTCATCTGCAAGATAAAATTAGATGCATCCCAATGACTTCCAAAAATTAGTTTAGAAATTTTCTATATATGTGGAAAAATATGTGTCTCAATGAAGATGAATTTTAAAACAGATTTCTTTAAATCAGTGCAAAATTGTATGGTGAAATTGTTACTTTACTTACAGAAGGTACGCTCATGAATGATTAGGAATCAGTTTAAGCTAAATAGATACTAAATCTATTTTTAACCTAAAGTAAGATTGCCTTTAGTAAGTATTTGAAAGAAATCAGCTAAATTGTTTAAGCAACTGTAATACAATAAACTTAAAACTGTTTCAGGTTAACCGATGCGCGCATGAGGTCTTCGGAGACAGAGGAAACTGGCGCAGGAACAGCAACCTCTGCCATTAGCTGTCAGCGTAACGGGGGATGAAACCTGCACCGACCCCACTCAGCAGCGATGGAGCTGTTTGTAACTGTTATTCTGAGTGTGTGAAATCCGATAGATAGGTTTCCAAAGGCACATAAAGAGGCAAAAAGTCAAAATGGAAAAAGTAATATTTTCTTGCACAGATATTAATTAGAATATGAAAAGTAACAGTTATTTCTGTATTGGCTTTCTTTAAAAGTGCTAGATTTTGGAATTTGGTTTTATATCAGTTGGAAGGTAAACTTTTCACTGACGCATTACTGACAAGGAAAGCAGAGCTGTCGCACGGATATTATGCTTTCTCTCACATATTTAAAAGACAAAAGGAACAAAGCGTGCTAGTATATAAAACTACGAAAATACAGAGACTTCACTTTTAAGAAGAAGCCTCCAGTGATGTGACTCGACTAGCACAGCTGTAAAACCCTCACATTTCTAGTTGCAAGTGGGGTGTTGTGTAATTCCCCACTGTAGGTTTTCTGACCACTGCTTGAAGCCCCTCAAAACGCAAACCTGAAATCCGTTTTCATTATATCGAACAACATTCCTACCTGTGTCGTCTCCTGACTTTTGACTGAGAAGCTGCTTCTGTGAACTAGGCTTAGGCAGCCCTTCAAAGCTTTTAAGAGGCCAGGAGTTGGCGAAGTTCATGGTATTATCTTGGGACTTCTTTGGAGAGTCCGCTGGAGGGGAGCCGTGCTTTGGGCTGTTCCTGGGCGATGACAGAGGGTAGGACGGCAGAATGAAGGCCCCCTGCCTTGCAGTAGGACCCTGCAGGGACCCGGTATGCTCTGCTTGATGGCAAAAACTTCTCTGGGTCTTGCTGGAAAAATTTAGGCTGGCACAAACTGAGCAAAGAAAAGAGAACAGTATTTGTGGTAAGTAGCCTCTTTGACAGCTCTTATTACAGTAATTTACAATGAAATAATACACGCCCTAGACAGTCGAAATGAAAGGTCAGCATTCTACCCAAGCAAACAGACAAATCACAGAATCACAGAATTTTCAGAGTTGGAAGGGACCTCTAGAGATCATCTAGTCCAACTCCCCAAATCAGCCTACTTCATTTTGCAAACTGCATTGTCCCTCAAAATATCAATTTCCTTTATCTTCATTTGATCAAATGAGTTTGAGCCCAAGCTATTTTGCAGTCATGTTATGAAATGCTACTTTTTAAAACAAATGAGTGAGGCAAGTAGATTGAACATGGTTCTGTTGCTTGTCGCTCCATATTCCAAGCCTGCATAGCATAAAATTTGCAAACACGTCTCAAAACTCAGTGTTACAAATAAACCACAAATGTTATAAATTCTACTTCTTTAAAAAAAAAAAAAAAAATATCTTTTTCCAGAAAGCAGTAGGTCAAAAATTGAAAGTGTCAAGTTGGAACTAGACTGTTTCAATTGTTTCCCATGAAAACCAGACGCGTGTTCCCCACACGCACTCAAACTTTTAGCCGTGCAAAAGAGGCCAAGTTTTAACAAAGTTCCTGACAGCCTTCTGAAGACCGAGGCTAAGAGAAGAGCACATCAACTTGGTTGTCAGAGGCAACGAACAAAGGGGAAATTTCTCCTTTCTTCCCATCGGCATGAGAAAAACACAGTATCCGGAGCCCATAAGAGGCCAGGAGCAAACTGGGTAGCTGAAGGTCCTATACGGCTTCCAAGGAGCCTGTCAGCTCTGGCCCTTGCCCAGCACGTCTGGACCACTCAAACCAGCTCCGTCCACAGATTTGGTTCCATTACCATCTATTCCTCTAGACAGTGCGTTTATTCCTTCACTAAGTGTACATCTGGCATTTTTATTATTATTACTAGTGAGGAACAGACAAGTTTCGATGTGTTACAGGTCCTGATCTCTCTTAGCCTCCCGCCCCAGGGTTAAGGTGCGCTCACCAGCAGGAAGCGCCCCTGGAACAACAGCACCCTGCCTATCTGCCCAGGAAAAGCTGTACAGAGACCACCCCAAATTAAAGCAACGATAGGAGAATTAAAAGCTTTATGTGCGCCAGCACAGTGGCTGTGCAGCGCGCCGAGGTCGCCTCCACCCGGCCGTGGTGGCCAGCGGAACGACGCAGGCTCTGCCGCCTCCTGCCGAGACCCCTCGGCTGCCTCCCAGCCCTCAGAGAGGACCAGAACGGGTACGGTACTGGAGGACGAGGCTCCCACCTGGCCCCTGCTGGTAAGCAGGCTGGACTGATCTGAGCTATAACATTAACAGAACTTAAACCAATCTGTTTTTCAAAAAAAGTTCAGATTCTGTTGCAGCACCACTTTTTATACAGCACACGGATACAGTCCGATACCAAAGGTGTGGGTGGCAAATTAGTAGCCATGAATGAAAGGCAGGGAGGCACAAATACGTCTGAATAGGGACGGAATAGTATTTTAGTAATAGTTTTTACTTCTTAAGGCAGCACAGAAATAAAGAGATATTTCCAAAGTTGATATACATGGACTTGCGATACAGTTGGAATCCACGTACCTTTGTCTTGCTGACAGCTATTTAATCCTAAAAATTGTAAATCAGAGTCCACACTACCACTCTTCCCACGTGTCTGTGTGTATCCAAGCGCTCCACATTTCCCTGAAATTTGCGGCTGATGAGAGCCCATAGCACCTTTCAAAAGAAAAACACAGATAACTAGATAAATTCTTAGCATATGGTATTCAATGGAAAATATAAATAGTATTTAACAGTGAATTAAGACTCTGTCTAACTTTCAGTGTAAAATATAACTACTTTGAAAGTCTTTAATTCAAGAGTTTCTATGCAACCTCTTAGTACTCTTGATAGGCACACACTGGAAAAATAGCTGGCTGTTCTTCCAGGGCACTTTGCCAACTGAGAACTGTAGGGGGTCAAAAGAAAAACCCAGAACAATCCCCTCTTTGAATATATGACAATAAAGGGAAGACAACACCTTAAACCCCCCACAATGCAGTGAGTTTCTTTAGCGTGATGTCACTCCTAGCATAGCAGCGAGGAAACTTTGCATGCCACACGTGTCAGCGCTCCTCGGCCAAAGCTGAGAACGTAACCTACTGCCAAGCAAAGAGAACAAAGCAGGTCTGGTCTTGCCTGGTCTTTTCATGTGCCTTTGGCTATCAAAATACAAATAACTGAGTCTACATTGCTAGTACAAATTAAGCAGAGCATTATACCTACAGTCTTCTACAAACCCCATTTTCAAAAACAAGACTTTGTCAGTTTTTTAAAAGAATCTTTAGCACTTGCTCTTCAGCCAGCTTTCCACCCTAGCTGCTTACACAAAGCAAGGAGAAGTAATATGCAAATCTAGAACAGATACGCACTCCTCTGCTCTCCTGAACAGCCTACCATACATAAATGTGACCTTCCCAACATGTTGTCCAGTATTTCATATGCTGTTGCCACTGCCAGCTAACCCTTGACAGCACACCTCTCAGGATAACAACTGCTATTCCAGCCAACAACGTACTCCTGCTCAGAAGTCAGTAAAATTCTGTGCCTCCTTTTAATTTACCGCTTTATCTGCAATTCATATTGTATTTTACAGTGTGAAAGAATGTTGGTTGAATTATTCGGAATTACATGGTGCCTCTTTTTTCCTAATTCTGCAAAAGCACCAGAAAGCTCTGTATCTCAGGGATATCTCCCGAGTCCTTTTGTTCAATACATCTGGTCACATAACCACAGTGGATTTCTTTTTGGTCTTGCTCTCTGCAAAAAAAAGCTGATCTATAAACTTTCTTGGGTCTATCTAAAACTGGTGAAAATCTGTGTGTAGAGCAGGACTGGAGAAGAGTGGTCTCAGTCCCGAGATGGCTTCTCCAGGAGCAGAAGAGGGACTGCTGCCGCCTACTTCAGCTGGAGGCACAGCCCTCTGCCCAGGATTCAATTCTTTGTAGTAAATGAAAATAAATAACCACACAAACAATCAACAAATGATAAATCATGCTCCAGAAGCTACAAATTTATGCCCAGGTTCTTCTATATCTATTTTGTAAATACCAGATCAAACACTTTCCTGTGTTAATACTCACCAGCACAAACAGAAGAATGCTCAGAGTTAAAATCTATACTGTTCTGAAATACATTCCTTGAAGCTCTTTTTCTACTAAAAAATAACTCGTCGCTGACCGGTACTCCTTGAGAGGGCCTTAACTTTGAAGAATGAAGAAAATCATTGGATGTAGAGAACTGCAGGAAAAAGGGAAAATAAAGAAACATTCATGTGTGGGAAACGAATGCACAACCCCTCCGGTACAAACAGCAGAATTACCCACGTAACTTTGCCACCCAGACCCCATCGCGGCCCAGACCTGTCTCTTCACAATAAGGCTACACAAACCACTGTTGATATGTTTAAGAAGACAAAAGTGATGGAAAATAGGCAGTTTTCTTCACTATCACTTAAGACAATGAAAACCCAGAGAGTGTGTACGTGAGCCGTATCATCCACCCAGAGAAGCAAACGGGATTCATCACGCGTATACCCACTGAGAAAGCTTCACCAACAAAGAGAGCAAAAAGCAGTGGTGGTTCCTACACCGCGGGACTGGTGACGGTGGGGCAGCGCAGGAGCCCGCGGGTCCGGCTCTCCCTGCCTTGGCCGCAGCCCGTGCCGGAGCCAGCTCCCCGGCCACCGCAGGGCTGGGCGACGGGAGCCACGGAAGGCACCAAAAGGAGCACCCACGGCCAGAAAGCGCCCGGGCAGATGCCTTATTCCACGGTGGCCTGGCGTGCCCTGCGGCAGGGGTGCCATGGAGTGCTGAGAACGGGAGCTGTGGGGCTGGGACATGGCGCTGGGGCCTTCAAACTCATCCCCCTGCGGCCACCTCGCGGCGGGTAACTGCCTAAACCCAAAGCATTAGGTGAGTTTTAAAACCAACTAATTCCGTTTTCCAACCTTCAGCAGTCTCACCTAACCCTTTGTTAAAAGATTGGTAAGAGAAGAGACAAAGCCTTTCACCATTGTGAAACCAGGGGCGAGTTGCCAGGCCAACAGGTCGAACACTCGGACCCCTCACACAAAAAAACGGTGACTATTTTTTAAAACCTTAAACTGTAGCAGAGAGCGCTGTGGCTCAGCAATACGAACGGCCAGACTCCCTTCATTAACAAAAGGCAGTTGATTCCTAAATGCAAACCGCAATTTTGATGAAGGTTTTCTTTCCCCAGCTACCCAATACTTTAAGTATTTTGAGCACTAGAAAACATTTTAGTTGGTTCTCCATTCTCACTCTAATACAGGTTGACACTAATCCCACTCGAGGGAAAAAAAAAACAAAAACAAAAACAAAACAAACTGGTAAAGAGTTGCACTGGTCATCAATTTTGAAAATTAAACATTAACATGTTGAATTATGTACATTAAACTATGTAAGTGTTCAAACAGACAGCAGTTACTTGAAGTGTGGACAAAGCATGCTTCAGATTTACTCTAAAAACTGTATCTGGTAATATCATCACCTTGTAATGAGAACCGGTTGCAGCTAAAGGAAAAATCTGAGGAAGGTAAATACTTAGCAAATAAAATATCATGCTTTAAGTAAAGGTTTCCTGCTTTCTGATTTAATTAGTAAAATCTGTAATTTAAATCATTTCCATGCTACATGAACTCTGCTCTCCCCTTTCGTAGACAGGGCTCCTCACAGAGGTGAAAAGAGAAGTCTGAACAGAAATGGAAATATTTATTCAGTATTGGAAAGAACAGCATCGTGTTAAGCGTAAAACCCTCCTTCACTCAACATACCGATTGTGTGAATGGAGAATTTGTAGTCTAACACACACATAGTACATTCATTTATAAAAATACCTATTTTTTAATTTCACTGAAGATCTCAGTTCACCGTAAAGATGAACTCTGAAACTGAGAACTCCAGAAAAACTCTTGCGCTATGAAACTGCAGTTCTCTGTTAGTCCGTAACTCAATTTCTCCTCACCGCACAGCCTGGCCCAGGCGACGCAAGCTGTGCTCGACAGCGAGAAACCAGTGACGGCAAACTGGGGAGAGCCACGGCACAGCCAGGCGAAAGCAGCCAGCTCTGAGCGCTGCTGGATGTTCCACGCGCAGGATAAAGTGCACGGGAATTTAACGGACTACCGTGTCTTGAAAGTTAAATGACTGGAGCAAATAGGCAGCAGTTAAATGCTCCAGTGTCTTGAGGAGTTTAAATTTAGTATTTCATGTTTTAATGGGGTTCACAAAAGCATCAGAAAATAAAGCACGGCCAGAACTTAAAACTGGAAGTGGCACAGTCATGAGATGACCAGCATGGCTATAAGTGTGTTCTAATCGGTTTTAGATCATTATAATATTTACTTTGTCACATAAGATCTTAAAAATAGAATTTTTTATGGTTATGGAATATAGACAAAAAGCTTTAAAAGTTTCCAGAAAACCTTCAGGTGCCTTCCAAGTAAAGAAGATTCCCAGCACGTTAGCAGGACATACCTACAAGCCGAGAGAAATGAAATCGCCATACCCTACCAACGAGACTCCTTGAAAAAATAAACCTCACAATTCAAACTTCTAAATTACATACTTCTAATTCTGCTCCCTCTAAGACTGTCCCTTAAAACCGCAATAAAAATAACTCACACACGGTACCCATCAGCAGTGAATAAATAAGCGAAGCGGCAATTTGCCTGTATTTCCACGTAGCGCCTTACAAACCCAAGCAGCGCGCTGCCCGGGGCACCAAGGCACACGCGACGGGGGCACAGGCTGGAATGGAACAGCCTCGCTGCTCCCGGCGGGGCTTTTGTGGTTAACAAAAATGGCAAAAATTTCATCTTTACTTACAAAAACGCACGTTCCAATTTACTGTTATGCACTGCATTTCGTGCGCTCCAAGTCCAGCAGATGGGATTAAAGTCAGCCGCACAACAAGGCAAAGTCGCCAGTGTGCAGCGTTTTAAGCAAATCCACCAAAATGCTCAAAAGCTTAAAACTTTACATAAAATCTTCCTCCCTGAAAGCCAGTGCGAATGCAGGACCGGACTTTTTAATTCGCCTTCAGGGATTAGACTCTCACTTAAAATACTTGTGGGCAACTGCTTAGTCCAATGCATACGACAGCGAGGGAAAACTTAAGGAGCCTCAATACAAAATGAATCATCTGCATCCCATTTTTAATGACGACGGCAGCAGGAATCCAGCAGGTATGAAATGCTTTAGTGAGATCAGAGCAGGAAATAAGAAGTTTTGCAAAGAATAAGAAACAAGTTCCAATTGCTGGATATACAGTAAGAACAACGACGTAAATGACAGCAGCAGTACCGGTAACACCCAGCGCTACGCGGGCTTTTTATCGCCCGGGCACCCTGAGGAACGCTCATTTTACTTTACAAATGAGAAAAAGAACAGCAGCTGAACGGGTGAAGCGGTCTGTTCCAGG